TGTCCATCCGGCCAAATGCCTCAGATGCTTATGGACCCACCCTCTCTCCCAGTCTTGATGAATTGAAGGTTCAGCCAAACTTTCTCTCCTTTGACACAAAAAAAGGCCTTCTTGGTGTGGGGGGGTGCAACTTACATAAGTAGTTAGGTTGTTTTCAACCTTTTGATTGGGCCCTACTGAGCAATATGTCATAAAAATGGTCCTGAGGTAAAATCCAAAGTACATTTTATCGCATGCTTAGTTTCCCACCCCACCTCATCAGTGAGAGCTGATTAAAGAAAAGCCAGGAGCTGAGGGACCATGGGGTTTATGTGGCTGTCTTTATGGCTTCTGAGGAGGCTCAAGTCCACACTTGCTGGCTGTGGTTACCAGGTCCAGCTAGGATGCCTTTGGACAGTCTTCTATTAAAGCCAAATTTCTTAGACAGATCGATCTATTGCATACGTTGAAGCTTATTTCTCATTAAGGAGGAAAGTAGCAAGCAGATAATGGAACGTCCCAATGGCAGGACAGGGAGGGTTTATGTTCAGCAGCTTTTAACCCCATCTGTGGCGTGGTTCAGCAGCGGCATGGACGAGCCACGGCCCCCTCCCTAGAGCTGCTGGGCATTGACCATTCATGCGAAATAACCAGTCATATTTCTGAGAAGGAAGCAAGGGGCAAACGGACCTACCTACAGCAATTAGACAATATAAACAACAAGATTTTCCTCCTCAAAAGGCAAGTTAGGGAAGAGGTGAAAACAGCTTCCAAAAGAGGTCACTTGATGGGATTCAGAACACGTTACTCCAAAATGTGGTGCCTTGGCATTTTGAATACTTATTAAACTGGAGGCATTTGAGAACCGGTGCAGAGAAGGTTCTGAACTCCTCCTTCCCTCTTGAAGCAGCCCTCCCTATACGTGTTATTTCTGCAGATGGAGGGACACTGAGAGGAATCTGAAGGGACAGGCCTTGCTAAGTCTTCCCCAGTTTACCACCCTTAGCTCACATCCCTTTGTCCCATCATGTTTTTCCATGACTCTCCACTCTTCATTGAACTTAGTATGGAAACACTCAGGCTTCACTCTTTCTTCAGGTTTTCATTTCCCTATAGAGACTCCAGTGTCATGTAAAGCTTACATAAGTTGTATGCTTTTCTCCTGTAAATCTGTCTTTGTTAGTTTAATTTTCAGGCCCAGCCAGAGAGCCTAAGAGGGTTGAGGAAAACATTTTCCTCCCCTGCACTTGAGAAGAGATACTTCTGCAGCTGTTCCTATGTTA